TAATGAAGGAGTAGGGGTGAGTGTACCTCTCCTAGTTTCAACCCTGCCAGGCTCCCTTCTCAGGGGGAAGGCTGGCAGTGGCAAATGTGCCCCTTTTGTACCCTCCCACTGTTGCACTTGCCCAGCCACCCCCAAGAGCCATGAGTAAGGAGATGGCCAAGTGACAGTGTGAGGGAACTGCCGTCTCTGGCAGCACACCCCTGCACTGGATGACACCACAGCTGGAGATGCCAGTATCTACATGGGGCTACCTTTGAAGAATGTTTGGAAATTTCAGTTGATCCAAATAACCGCAGCCAGATTATTAACTGGGATAGGCTAGGGGAGCATATGGCTCCATTGTTGCAACAGTAGTTGCTACTCTGTGGGAACAGTTCAGTTTGTTGGTTGTGATCTACAAAGTTCTATATAGCTCAGATTCATGTTATCTGAAGGACCATTATCTCCCTATATGATCTGCTCATCTCTTGAGATCTTCTAGGGGGACCCTTCTCACTGTCCCACCACCCTCCTAGATACATCCAGTGAGAATGCAGAAGTGGGCCTTCTTGGTGGCTGCTCCCACACATTGGAATTCCCTCCCTGGGAAGGTTAGGATGGCACCTTCCTTGCTATCCTTTCCTAGACAAATAAAGATCATTTTGTTTCAGTGAGCTCTGACTGGTCAGGAGGGGCATGCCTTTTATGTACTGCATTGTTTACATTTATTTTTCTTCTTTTTAATGGTTATGCTTGTAGCTGCTTTAAATGTCATTGATACGTAGTTTAATTATATTTTTAATGTTTGTATGATGCAGATTCTTTAGCTGTATCTGATTAAACATCTGTAAGCTAACTGGGAAAAGACAGGATGATGATGATGATGATGATGATGATGACGACAACAACAACAACGATTCACACTTTTTCAGTTACGGTATATCTTCTAAAGAAAACCTATTTATGGCTATATTTAATATCCTTCTTCCTCCCAATTACATGGAATGTGTTGCCATTTGGGAAAGTGATGAGCAGGTAGCAGTGCATATACATAGGTGTTGAGTAAACACAGCATATGAGTGCCATAGATGTGATAAATCAAAATTGGTTCTTCATAAACTTACATGTCCAAGACTAGCCAAAGCATTAGGTCATATGTCTTGGGTTAGGATGGGCATTTGCACACATGCATCTTCTAAATATTACTTATGGGAGAAATGATTCATTGGAAAGACGAGCAGGGGAATCCTGTCTGAAGAAATGCTGCTATTAATCAAACATGATCTGTTGAATCCTATCTATCATCACTGACTGTCTATAACTGACCATGTAGCTGCCAAGACAGCAGAACAGGAAGGAAACAAACAAGTGTCTGGAAAGAATATTAGTCTCTTGTTACTCATGAAATCAGATGCAGCAAGGTAGATGATGAATACATTTTATTACATTAAAATAGTAATGTTACTTTGAAATACTAGCAAGATTGAATTTTGGATGAGCATGTTTTGAATACTGTACACTGAAATAAAATTAACCAACCATGGAAGCCTAAAAGACTCCAGGTTTTGTTGCCAGGAAAGCTATTATCTGTACAATGTATGCTGTACTTAATAGTAGCAAACCTTGATGATTGCTTCACCATACTTTTAAATATTTTATCTGTCTGCTGTAGGTTGCCTATTTATAGAAAAACCTAAGTGAAATTTGCAGCAATAAAGCATAGTTTACTGGAAATAACTGTTTTTTTTTTTTTTTAAAAAACACACCTGCATTAGCATTTACAAACATTTAGATTGCAATGAGAAATATGAAATGGAAAGCATTGACACATAGAATTGGAAGTGACATCATAGGCCATTGAGTCCAACACCTTGCTCAGTGCAGCACTAAGGTTCTTTTCTTATTTTTACATAATCAAAACATATTTTTAATCGACAAGCAATTCCTTAGACTATTTTATATTGACATTGTTGAAAGAAATTTTCCATGATAATAAGGAGTTAAAAATTAGAGTAGATAGGCACCCTTCATTTGTTTCATTGATATCTGTGTATATCTATTTTGTAGAACTATGTGTACAGTATGCAAAAAATAATTTGACTTTAGAATCTATCACAGGATTGGAAATCTTATTGTAGGAGATAATGTTAAAAACTACTCATGGCTAATTCGGGGCTGGATTGGATGACCCTTGGGGTTTCATTTTCTATATTTAAAATTATGCATTTGCAAGGCTTTTCAGTTTTGCTTCTTTGAAATGGGATATTGCTTTCTTTGACCTTGAAGGCTAGACACTCAGCTTCAAAGCTTAAATAGATAAGGAAGGTATGAGCGGGCAGTAGGGAGGAAAGCTAAATTAGTTCCCGCATGGCAAGTAGAAGTGTAACATAATCAGCAAAGGGGTGATTTTGGATTTGTGTCTTATAAGCAGTGAAAATGGTCATTTATACATATATTAATATAATTATATGTTAGCTCTGTAAGATGGAATATAAGAATGTTGATTAGCAAGGGGGGTGCTCTCTGTCAGAGGCCCGTCAACATTAAATGGAATAAAGGAATAAACTCAATCTTTCCTGATTCAAGGGTCTCTGTTTCCTGTTTTTCCCACAACATTATAGCCCTCTAGATATGGTTCGACCCATTGGTCATGATGGCTAATCCATGGCTAATGGAATCTGCAGCCCTGCAATATCTGAAGGATCATCATCTGTCCACTGTTATCTCAAGGTGACCAGAAGACCTTCAGGTGGATGAATCTCTTCCATGTTTTATCCCATATTTTAAAACTACGAAGGTCACAAAAGAATCCAGTAGCACCGTAGAGACAAACTGGTTTATTTTAGCATGTGGTTATCAGTCCACAGGAACCTATTTGGGTAGAGGTCAGAAGCTTGGATAGTTGCTTTGTGGGATGGAAGCAACCAACTCTCCCTGCTGTGTCTAGTGCAGGGGTGGGCAAAGTGATCTCTAGGGCCCCTCGGGCCAAAAATATTTGCTCCAAAATTCCCCCAAATGCCTACTTGAGAGTATGGAGTGCAATTCCACTTTAATTGGAGGCTTCCTGGCTCCAGGGGCG